ACGCACGAGGTGTGGGACTCACCAGCAAAGCCAGTACTACCCACTAAAACCCAACAAAGCCTTCCCCCGTCTTAATGGGGCGTCGCAGGATCGCTTACGCATTCAACTACGACGCCCCGAAAACTTTCATCCCCTATTTTACCCCCTTATAGGATTAATTTCGAAAAATTTATTTAATTTTATTGAAGAGCATTAATACCAAGTTTCAAGTAATTCTGATCATATATATTTTTTTGAATTGTATTATATTGTGTTTTCCAGTGGGAATTAGATAATCTCACGCGGTAAATAGTAGCCTATGTCACTCTTCAACCCTCCAACTATCTTCACACAAAAAATCAGGCCAATCCGTCACTCCGTATCGACATGAAAGAAGGACAAACAAACAAACAAACAAACAAACACACTTTCACATTTATAATATTAGTATGGATATACCTACACATGTTTAATAAAATTGGCGGAGAAAAAGGTGAAACTGTATCTAATATTTTTCATTTCTTCTGTCTTCTTAAATAGTCACTGAAAAATGGTTATATTGTGGTTGTTGTTTTATTTAAGGCAAGCTACCTGGTAATGGCTATACTTAGATAAAAAATATAAATGAATTGACTCTACCTTTGCTTCTTTGAATTTGGTCAAAACCTTTCCAAAACTTATAAAATTAATTGTAAACTTGTATTTAAATATATGTATGTAGATAGTAATAGAAAAGTTAGATTTATTATATGGATGGAGTCCGGTAGATTAAATGAATCCAGACATACAAAGGTAAAGTTTTCAGAGCTCTTGTGAATTTAGGTACCTATTAGATACGCGGCTGTTCGTAAAAAATACTATTCTTTATAATTTCCTATTTTTAATTGTTCCATCTTTCTCTTGACAAAAAAGAAAAAAAAGAATTTGAAGCATTTTTAGCACAAGGATATTATTATTGACTAGCATTGCCCGCGGCTCCGCCCGCGTTCAGATGACCAAAAACCAAATTCTTAGGTTTTACATATTAGTATACTCTTACATTTTTTGTATTTTTGTATGTAGTTTTTGTATTTTTTTCTCAAAAATGAGATATTTTCCTGCGGTAAAAAGTATCCTATATGTTGACCCGGATAATCAGCTACCACCATACCAAATTTCATCAAAAAATCCCTCCAGTTGTTTTTCTGTGATGCGGTAACAGACAGACAAAAATTCTAAAAACTATAGATTCGGCCTCTGTATCCATAATAATGTTTATTTCATTAAGATTTTTCAAAAAAATATCTAATGTACAGATTCGGCTTAGTTACAATTTTATTTGTCTAATGTTTTAGAAAAGAATGTTAAAATCGATAGGTACATATAGATTTTAACATTCTTTTCTAACACTAGTTACAACTAGTTACGAAATACTGATAACCAAGTGGTATTATTTAATATATCATATCTACGAGTATTTAAAAATATTATATGTTTTAGATTTCCGCAATTGTTACAATAATGCTGGCCCTACTAAAAGTTGGCAACAGACGCGCAGACGTTCGTCGTTATCTACATCTCTTCCAGTTAGAGCTTGTACTGAGCGGCAATTACTTTACATATAAACATAGCATTACTGTGCGATGTAAGTAAACGTGTTTATTTGAATGTATTTTTACATATGGTAAAGATTTTTTTAGTTTTTTGAATAAATGAGTATTTGGCATTTATTTAAAATGAAGCCAAATTATCTATTGTTTCTTTTGCTTTCATAGAGTAAAACTAAAATGGACTACTAGACTAGACTACTAATAAGTATTTTATTTAATAATTGTATGTCAGAAATATATTTATAAGTTTGTTAAAAACCTTATTTATTGGTATTTAATATACGTAATGAGGACAAGTAATCGTATTAGGTATTTTAAATAATATTCTTGGCTTTTTCATAGTTCTAATTCCTTGATAGATACAGTTTAAATTATTTGATTGGATTTGTATACTTTGCTTAGGTCTATACCTCTATAAAATATATTATAGACAGATTGACTAGATATTGAATTTATTGACTCAATATATAAAATCGATATATCTCCTTACCACTAATATAATTGGAACCCTTTTACGTGTGATATTTAATTTAACTAATATGGACGATTCCAATAACATACCATGGTAATTTATTGACCATCAAACTATTGCAATAGATTATTTAATAGTTGCTATTACACAATTAAAAAATTAAATCAAATAAAAAAGATTTTATATTTTGCCTTGTATACGTAAAGTAATTGTGAATACACCTAATAAGCCCCAAGAAAAAAATATCAAAGATGCAAGAAACAAGCATTAATATCTTGCTTTTTCTAACAAACATACAAACATCTGTCACATGTAATAAATATTAATTCATCCGCCATCACAAGGTTTTCAACCTTTAATTATTGCTCGGATCAAATTAGGGGACATTTATTTTAGTTCTTCTAATTAGTAATTAGTTGGCGGCGTTCACTCGAGCGAGCATAACTGGTGCAAATGTAGTGAAGCTGATTTATAATGTACACTGAACTAAGTGATGTTGACAGAAAAAAACGGATGATCCTAAAATTACATATACATTTTTATAAAAAATATCTTTTCTTACTGCATTATTAGTAGGTAAATTTCAATAAAAAATCTTTATCTTCATCTCATAGTCTAAACCTAAGACCCTTACCGAGTATTCAAAGATTCGCCGAAATTAATGAAACCATTTCTTCTATACTTATGTATCGCACGGTCATACTTTTCTTTTTCTGTATCAAAAGTATGGGTCAAACAACCATAATACGAGCTCCGCCAACCCGCACTTGGCCAGCGTGGTGGACTATTGCTTGATCCCCCTTGTACGGAAGGGAGGCCCGTGCCCAGCAGTGGGATGTTAAAAAGAGGCTGAATACAATATGAGCTCATAACATTGTAGGTACTTACTATACGGGCTTTAGTCTATACATATAATAAAATTGTAATTAATTGTCATCTGTACATTAAATATTTTTTGGAAAGTCTTATTGAAATAGACATCGATATCGATACAGAGGCCGAATCTATATCTTTTATAATTTTTGTGACCGCATCACGGAAAAACCACTAGACAGATTTTAATGAATGATCAAATGAATGAATTTTTTGGTATGATGATAGCCGGTTATCTGGGTCAACATATAGGATACTTTTTACTGCGGGAAAATACTATCTCATATAGAGAAACCTATACCAAACGTTAAAACGTAAGCAGGGACGAACCCGAAAAAGCGAGGGTGAGTCGCTAGTTTTATTTATAAAATATAAGTATAGATAATAAATTGATATTATCTTACAATTGAAACAGCCCTTACTAAGATAAAGCTCTTTTATTACAATTCACTATATTAAATTAATTATTTAATAAGCCGGCGGTTGAATTTACAGATGTATAAAGACGTTAAGATAAAATAAGATTAAGATTATCTACACAAGAATTTTTTATACGTTTCGATGGAGGGGAAAATGCAGACAGTGCCAGCTATTAATACGCAGCAGACTTTTTAACTTAGAGATCATTTAACTTTGATTTAAAAAAACAATATTTCGTTTTTCTTATTTAGTTTTTTTTGTCACTAGGTACTTACAAATGCAAAATTAACTCTGTTTGTCTGTTTGTTTGTCAAATTTTTAGGTCTAAACCGCTGAACCAATTTTGATTAACTTTAATATAGAGATAGATTAGAACTTGAAAAATGACTTTTGTTGTGAAAATTAAGCTTGGCTTTAAGTGGAAAATAGAGAACCAAAATTTGTATGGCATACTCATCATTCACCCATCTCAAGTTGGAGACTTGGAAATTCATATTTATGTTTTTGGTAAGAAATTAAGTGTTTCAGTGTTTTTGAAATATCATCCCTGAAGGCGGGGATGTTTTCATTTATCTACTTATTTCTATATTGACCGCATCCCCCTTATGGAAGTTATCGTAACTTTATATGAAAGTCCTAGGTATATTGTTGCTGCTCTCTACGCAAAAATGAGTTATTCTGGTATATTATTATGTTTATTGTTTACAGAAAGTAAAGAAACGTTAAGATATTTTGGCATTAACAAAGAACAAAGGAAGGAAGGAAAAGTCATCAAAGCGATTGTGGGTTGCAATAGTACTTTGGTATAAATAGAACAGGCCGAGGCCTAAATGCTAACCCGAGATAGATACAGGAATCCCATAAGTCTCCTATGTTTTGATGTCTTATAAAACTACGGTGTTCGGCAATCATGCAACTTCTACAACAATTAGGTAATATTATTTTTCCTACTTGAATAGGTCATGCGTAAGTGTATTCTTTTAGACTTAGTTAGGTTAATTTATTTTTTATGTGCGTCAAAAATATTCTTCATATTTTTGGTTGCAGCATTCGAAATTTTTGAGTTATAAGTAGCTAACTAGGGAAATTGAAAAGGATTTTTATAGACATTTTTATGGGATTTAGTGTATATGTAGATAGATTATTTCAAAAAAAATTTTTTTAAATCGATTCATATTTTTTAAAAATATCGCGTAAAGTACCTACACTCATAAAAACCGAAATAATTAACACAACTTTTTTGAAACTATTAACATTTTATTTACTTCATTGTACACTAGTGCCATCTATTAAAGAGTAGAAAAATTATTTGTAGCATCAAATGCCATCTCGTAAGAAATACTAAAATTACTTATACGTAATAAATGCCATCTAGCGTGAAATAGCTAAAGCTTTATGTAAGTATATGTGTCAAAAAATGGAATTATAATCCGACAAAATTTTAGATGTACCGTGAAGTTTTAAAATCAAACCATGTAGTATATAGAATTGTCAAATGTATAGGTGTTCTTAAAATAGAAGCGTAGCCTTTATTCGATGAGTTTCTGACATTACTGAATAGTCATAACTTGCCGCTGTCAAAGCGGGAATGTGGAAATCTGGTTTGTTGATTCCAAGTGATTGTAACTGAACGATTCGCGGCCTTATAAAATAATTTCACAGCCACAATGCCACCGAGTAGCCTTCGAGTCGTGTACGCGTTCGCCAGAGAAATGCATCCTAAAACAACCGACGTTTTTATACAATACGGCACCGCCGGATTCCGAACCAAGTAAGTAAAGCCCATATATGTATAAATTATTAATTTAGGGATTTCCTGAGTCTAATATGGAATTCTAGCCATAAAAAACAAAACCAATCAAATAATTTTTACTTTCACACCCATTTCTATTGTCACGTAAGCAAAATTTGCTAAGGATGCTATTATCCTTTTACGATTCATTGCATCGGATAGATCATGAGTCACTTATAGTGTAATTTATAACGGGAAGTAAACGATATTATGGTCAATGACTTCTTGTATCAAAACAAATTGTAACCATTTTTTCGAATTCGTGTTGTATCATATTGTATATAATTTTTGAGGTAACGTAAAGCGTATAAAAATAATATTATAAAAAGCATATCATTAGCATAGCTGCATCTGACATTGAATTTAATTAAGGAATTATGTTTTATAATTACCTAACATAATATATTATATGCATCGGTACCTACCTATAATTTCATAAACTCCATATAATTTTAAGTCATAAAAATGCTTTTTTCATGATATATTTGCCTAATGTCAAATATTTCTTGTAAAAGAAAAAAGTTATTCAACTAAATAGCTATTTCATTATACTTTGTAAGTTTGTAGTGATGTAATTCAAAAAGTAGGATAGTATGCAATACACAATTGCAATTTGTTCTTGTTAGTGTGTCTAAAACATGCTGGCATTCAGCCAAGTACTTAAGTTATTTGGGTTCATAGGAACTCCTCATGTAAACTCTTTTATTTATCTGAAATTATATTTATGGTGATGCGGATATCATGAACAGAAATACTTTGGCACAAATTCAGAATTGGGGACTTGGCCCCTAGCGGAGTGGGTGGTATTTCTGGATAAGGGACGTGATAGGGAGTCGAAATGTTAAATAAATTTTTTAATACAACAAAAGATTCAAAAGTTATTGAGACTTAAAGTTACAACATTTCCATACATTTTCATATATTTCTTTACCACCATTCGGAGTGGGTGGTATTTTTAGATAGGGGAGGTGACAGAGAGTCAAAATATATTAAAAATATTTGGAGGAAACGTACGACTAAAAAGTTATTGAGACTTAAAGTTATAACATATCTTACACATTTCCATACATTTCTTTACCTAAATAAGTGATTACAACAGATAAACATACCTTTAACGAATAGTACGCATCCTTTTTTATGTACATTACACATTTTCACAACAATTAATGCTTTATTGTATTTAATATTTTAATAATTTCACAACACAAACAAAATGATCTTACATTTTGACAAAAGCAAAACTGACACTTTGTTTTATATTACCGCTTAAATGACAACAGATTATATTTGATTATTTTTGCTTTTTCTGTTGGTAAAATATTAATATTAATAAATAAATAAATAAAAAGAAAAATATTATTTTCACTTTATAAATACATTTATAACTTTTTATTTGATTTATGTAAAATATATTGTTTTACAATTGTACATTTAGTAAAAAAAATCATTTTTTTATCTGTGAATATTTTTAATTATTTATTTATTATTCGTCATATCTGGGTTAGGTTAGGTTAGAACATTTAAGATTATTTATTTATTATTCCTCATATCTGGGTTAGGTTAGGTTAGAACATTTAAGATTATTTATTAATTATTCGTCATATCTTGGTTAGGTTAGGTTAGAACATTTAAGATTATTTATTTATTATTCCTCATATCTGGGTTAGGTTAGGTTAGAACATTTAAGATTATTTATTTATTATTCCTCATATCTGGGTTAGGTTAGGTTAGAACATTTAAGATTATTTATTAATTATTCGTCATATCTTGGTTAGGTTAGGTTAGAACAGTTGCCACAACGCACGAGCCGAGCGAGCGAAGCGAGCGTGCCGCGGTAGCGGCCGGCGAGTGCCATAAATGACTAGAAAACTAGAAAATTCGAATTTCACGCAAAGTACAAATAAAGACAATCATCTGGAGATCATTTTGACAATTGAAAGTGACGTTTTGACTCCAAGTGTCTAAATGGTAGTAATGTCAAAATAATGTATGGAAATGTTATAACTTTAAGTCTCAATAACTTTTGACTCTTTTGTTGTATTAAAAAATTTATTTAACATTTCGACTCCCTATCACGTGCCTTATCCAGAAATACCACCCACTCCGCTAGGGGCCAAGTCCCCAATTCTAAACGGCCGCCAATACTTTACTCACCTTTACATGTAATTGGAGATATAGTGTGGGGCAGCTAAAAATATTTATATGAGAGAAGAAACTATATTTAAATGTTTTGCACTTGCGTAGGTATTTTTTATTCTTTTTTGTATTTATCTTACATTTTATTTCTAAGGCTTGACAAATAGTCAAGTAGTTACCAACTAAACTCAATATTTACTAAAAACCACTCTTTTGAGTGATTTAAATAATTAAAATGTTATTCGCTTATTAATTTTAATATAATTAATTTTTCTGTAAAAAATTGTTCAACTTTAATTATGCCAACAACTATAATCACTGGTTTCACAATCACTTGATCTAATTGCACTTTATTATCATTATCAGTAAATTTATTGTTTTAGATTTTTATCAGTGTGATTACAAATACATGAAATGGTTTTAATCTGCTATTGACATATTAGAAGTATTTAAAATTCCTTTAGTCATGTTTAATTCGAAAATAAAGCAGATAAGCAATGACTGTAGTATGGGTTTAAAGAAAACTGCCATACCTTTTATATAAATTCCTAATTTATGATTTTGTATTGCTTTTGCTATGTGTAAAACTAATGGATGTATTATGTAGGATACTCTAAAGACTTATATAGATGGAGCCCTCTAAAAATAATTTTAAAGTCAAATATGGTAGTGTAATTTACTGTTTATGCTACTATTTTTGCCATACATATTGTTACTTTTTTAAAGATAAAGGAAAATGTTATATTGGTTAGTCATTAATTAACAATATTTGAGAAGGAATATAGGAATCATTAATAATAATGAATACTAAAAGTTATACTATACATTTTGTAAGAGTTTTTAAAGCATTGGTTCTCTTCGTCTTTAAAGAGAAATAGCATAATAGTGGCTGATTTCAATTTTTTCTTTATTATAATAAAATCCCTTAACTGTTGGTCATCAGTAATGAGTATTCTATTAATATTTGTATACTATTTTTAAACATTATGCAATATAGTGTGGTATCTTATTTTGCAAAACATATAATGGGAGGTACCTAATACTGTTTGAATTGTCCATTACTTAGTATTGATAAAAACTTTTTATATTAACTATAATTGTTCTAAATCCCAAAAATATTATAAATACGAAAGTTTGGATAGATGGATGGATATTTGTTAACAGATCCGAATTAAAGTTGACACACAGAAAGATTATAGTCTCAAATAGCACATAACTTACACCTTATCTAGGAAAAATGTATGGTTCCCGTGGGATAGATATGTTTTTGTTTTCCACTAGGGCAAACCCGAATGAAGCAAGGGTGAGTCACTAGTATTATTATATGTTCAGGTGCTATTCTGGAAAAGAACATTAGACATTCTGTGCCTATTGATCATATTAACCTTTACAATGTTAATAGTTAGATGTTTTACATTGCAATTTTAATTGTAAATTCGCATTGAATTGTTAGAATTTAAAGGGAAGTTGAAATTAATGTTGTTTTATAATTAATGATATCATATAATACAAATTGAATCATTTAAACTGTAATAATGAGGCCTAAATATAGAAAGTGAAAGATAAAGTTTAAAATTTATGACAAAAATTAATATAACGTTCTCTGTATTCTTAGAGCGAGTCTTCTCGAACATGTGGTATACCGCATGGGTCTGCTCGCAGTAATTCGCTCTCGCTGTAAAAATGGTATGTATTCAATTTTTTATTTTCATTTTCAGGAATAGAAATTGCAAAGGTTTTTTCAGTCGTTGCGTCAATAGGCCATTAGGGCGGGTCCGAACCTACGACCTTGCGACCCATGACACGCCTGTTGGCACTAATGACTCTATAAAACTATAAAACCGTAGGATATTGTTGCCTTAAAATATAAATATATATTCCTAGATACCATAAAATCTGTGGTTTTACTAAATATTTATACTTTTAGTTTTTTTACATAAGAATAAACATCACTTAGGAGATTTAAAAAGAAAATTCCATGATATATTGTATAATTTATAGGTCAAGCCAATTAACTTGCGATGTAATCGAATTAAGTTTTTAGAATATCTTGAAATGTATCGATTTTTCAATGTTTTCTACTGTAACCTTATTGTTAGAACTGCTAATCAATCGAAAAAATTCAATGAGCTAAGGAAGAAAGGTATTTGTATTCTGAGAATGCTATGCTAAAATGGGTGTGTGGACCACGTAAAAAATAGTTTAATTAAACAATAAGTAGGTACGTTATTATTTTTAGATTCATAAAGTATAAATATAAAAAATCGATCAAGTGCGAGTCGAATTCGCACACGAAGGGTTCCGTACCATCGAACATGACAGTACTTTTTATTAATATGACTTTTGCTGTGTGTATATTGAGGTCATACTATTAAAACGACGAAACTAACGCTCAAAAAGCGGCTCAACCGATTTTAACTGGGCTTTCATTTATGGATATAAGATATAATATAAACGAAAATGCCATGGATTAAGGTTTCGATAGAACTTTCATCTATACTAATATTATAAAGAGGTACAGTTTGTTTTTTTTTTGTCTAAACACGCTAATCTCAGGAACTAGTAATCCGATATGTAAAAATATTTTTGCATTAGATAGCCCGTTTATTGAGGAAGGCTTTGTACTAGATATCATATAGTTTATAGTCTATCTATTCCATACTAACCATTAAAACGTACCCAGGGACAAACCCGAGCGAAGTCACGGTGAGACGCTAGTAAAATCTACCTAACGGTAGTACGTCCTATGGATGGATCGACGAATAGCAAATGTTAATTGATTCTTAAAACTACAGATGACACAACATTATGAAATGATCCACTATTTAGAAATGGACCCATGATCTGCAGATAATAAGGTTGCGTTAAAATGTTATATTCACCGTACTATATACATACATAACTAGTTGGGCAATCAACAGGAGTGTTTCACTCCTATATTGTCACCCGGGGCCACCGAAGCTGATTCTCTATTTAGGTACCTTCGGTAGAATTTTCCTGTCCACAATTCCCTATACAGTTTTTCATATTCTTAGTCCCATTTTTTTAATTTCTCTTTTGCGGCTATTTCGTGTCACTGCGACCATTTCTGGTCTATTGTGATCGCCGCTTTTTATACTAGAGTGAATCACTAAACCCGGCAGATGTTAAGAACTGCAGGATTTTCTTAGAGTTACACTCTTTTCTTAGTCCCATACAAACTATCTTCCCATATTTTCATAATCCAAGTTTCATTGATGCGCTAAAGGTCCTCTATCATTATACGAAAATTCATAAATCAGCTACTTAGGCGTTGAAATGTAACAAACAAACGAACAAAGAGACAAACAGAGTTAGTCTGTAGTATTTATAATATTCAGCTGATATTCCAGGCTTTAAATTAAAATTGAGCTGGTAAACAGTGGTTTTAAAGAGGTAAATTAAAAATATCAAATTTAAAGTGTATAGTAACTCATTAATATTAAAGACTAGCGGGTCAACTTTGCTTTGCTCGGGTTCACCTCTAAAAAAACAAAAGCAAATCTATCCCACGGGAACCGTACATTTTTCCGGGATAAAAACTAGCCTATGTGCTGTTCCTGATTATAATCTATCTCTGTGCCGAATTTCATCCAGATCCTTTCAGCCGTTCTGGCGTGATTGAGTAAGAAACAAACAAACATCCATCCAAATTCTAAACTTTCACATTTATAATATTAGTAAGATTTTATAATATTAGTAAGAAGTAATGTTATAGTTTAGTTATTATTTTAACTTATTATTCAACCATACATATTTAAATCTATGAAACCATACGCATGTTTTTAAAGATATAAATATTTCTTTTTATCATTAATAGGTCGCGCAATAGGAATAATGATAACCGCGTCCCACAACTTGGAACCAGACAATGGTGTCAAGCTAATCGACCCAGACGGTGAAATGCTCGATGAGAGCTGGGAAGAAATCGCAACGAGGCTAGCTAATGTCAGGTCAGTAGAATGTATACCGCAGGGAATGGTCTTCACGGGATTTATATGTACATATATAGGTCATCGAATATTTCATATTAATGTACTGGTACTTTGATAATGAGTAAATAGGGCTAGAAGTCTGTCTGTTACATTTTACAGGTAGGTACTTTGCATATTTTCTGACACCTTCAAATGAAGAAAATTGGAATTGGGGTGCTTCCATATTTTTTTTCATTGAGGCCCAAAAAGGCTAGTTACGCCAATGGCTGCAGCACAATTTTTTCCAAGCCAATTTGTAATAAAAAAGAAAATATGCGCAAAGCTATTTTAAATAGTTGATATAGGGTTAGTAAAGCTATTAGGGGAAAACCCTAGCCTTGATTAGGCAGCTCTATACCGTTAAGGCCCCGGTGTCCTTCGCTTTAGTGATGGCATTGTGTTGTATAATCGATATTGCACGTAGCTTATTGGACTGTTATCGTTGAGTGTAATTGAAAATTATAGGATGCCACTTACGTTTTTTCAAATATAATTTGAACTTATTGTTACTGCCTAAACTTTGAAAATTACTCATTAAAAAAGTAAATAGTTATAAAATAAGTAAGTACTTTATTAATTAGTAATTCTAAGTGTTATCACAGATCATATATTACTATACTAGTATTTGGTGTTATTCATAATCCCTAGAGAACTAATGATATATATTCATATTAGGTATGTGTTGCTAGATCGGATTTCACTTGCATATGTTTCCGATTGTTGAAGTCGATTATTCGAATAATTTATATGAAGCCTAGTTATTAGCCTTATCGATTTTTTGAAGTAATAACAATTCTTTGACAACGTATCGTAGTAATAATAACATGACATGACAGGAACATGGGTATCATTTTTATATTTTGTACTGTAATTATGCCGCCGTATATAAATAAATATTGATTACTAGCGACTCACCCTTGCTTCGTTCGGGTTCTTCCCTAGGTTGCTTCCCCATACAAACTTACATCCTCATTTTCAACCCCTTAAGGAATGATTTCCGGAATAAAAACTATCCCATCATCCAGATGGGAAGGATCCAAAGGGATTCAAACTTCTTACCAAATTTCATCTAAATCGGTTTAGTAATTTCGGAGCCTATTCAGTACAAACAAACAATTTTTTTCCTCTTTATAATATTAGTATAGATATTTCCTACAGTATATACAAAGCCAATTAGGTAGAAGGTCCAAGGTCAAAGTTTGTATCCACTAAGTGACTAGATACTAAACAAGTAGTACTATTACGGCTTAGACACTCACCTTCTAACATACATATTTATCTTTTCTTAGCCTCGACTAAGTTTATTTTAAGGAATCATGAGATAACCCGCTTAATGTGGCCTCAGTCTAAAGGAAGTTTCATGTAAGTGTTGTATGGACGGTTTGTCACAGATGATCAAGCTAAGCTTTTCAAGTTTTTGAGATTCGAAAATAATTTTTACATACAAATTGCCGTTTTGGTTACATATCTGCATTTGCAACGTATTTCGGATTGGTACGGTTATTATTCATACGTGTGTAGGCGCCTTAATTAAAATGGAAATATGGATACCTACTGTATATTCGCAGACACAAAATTTAAATGTAACTATGGATTTTGTAGCGTTGAACGTTGTTTGCATAAAACTATAAACATTTAAGAAGGTAATTTTCAAGCTTGTAAATTATTTGAATTGTTATGCGATTATAATAAAATTTTAACGGCTCAAATTCTAATTGAATTTTATAACTTCAACGTAATATAAAAGCGCAACAGAAATCAGAATTCCCCTTTCCTTTAGAATAATAACTACATATAGCTAAGTAGGTACTTACTTATATATATCTATACATAAATAGACAGATAAAACAAATCAGTAACTACCCTTTTCTCTGTTTGTAAACCGATTATCACTTTCATTATCTATTCATATACATAACTAGCGACTCACTCTCGCTTCGCTCGGGTTCGTCCCTAGCTTGCTTCCCAATACAAACTTTCACCCCCTTAATCCCTCCACGACCGCGGACACCCCGAGGTGTTAGTTAACAATAGATTACTTAGAATTTTAATTAATTTGTTAGAAATTTACCTGGAGGGATTAAACGATGATTTCCGTCATAAAAAGTATCCTATGTTCTTCCAGGGTCTCAAACTATCTTCTTACCAAATTTCATCTAAATCGCTTCAGTAGATCCAGAGATTACCCCCCTACAACTTTTAAAACTCACAAACTTTATCTCTTTATAATATTAGTATAGATATGTTTTTTCTCAAAATGTCAATAACGATTATGACCGAATTTCGAGTAATAGGCGAACACTAGTTTTCATTAAAAAAATATTTTTGTGACTTACAAATTACAATGCATATATGTTACATATACAATATTCAGGTAGTATTTCAAGCTGCTATATTATATGAGCAGAGCTATTTTACTAATTATCAAGTGTGATTATCCCCATTTTGTAAATTTAAAGGTTTGTTTGTATTAGATAATTATAATCATACGTTTTATATTCTACTTTTGCGAACTCTGCATTGGAAAACCTTTACTAAATTAATACCAAACTAGTACATGATTTTTTGGATATAGATTAATTAATAGATTAGAGATAAACAGACTCTTATCGAGTGTTTCACGTGAGATACTAAAATATTAATAAAATACAATACTAAAAGGACAAACGGTAGTTAGGTGCGCTAGTAGCAAGATAAAGTGAATGCAAAACCTATATTTAGCCATACGAAAAGTACATAACTCCGCCGGATATATCTAGTCTATAGTAGCATCTTGTCTGCCCGCTTCATACTATTATTCAATTGACACATTTACTGTGGGAATTTACATTTCTATACAAGTAGTATGTAAATATTTAAGATAGAACACAAAGGCAGAGATAGCCTTTCTTTTACACAAACGTTTAATTAGCATTCAAAAAAATAAAAAAATTTGGTGACTTAATTATAATAATATTTTGGGATATGAATTGTGAACCGCCTTTAAATTTGAATGTACCATATTTGAACCATAGTTGTACTTACGCGATACTTTTATGTATCGTTATAATAATAAAAACGATCGTACCGTTCTTTTAACGTTCACTTACATAATAAGGAACCTGCGATACCATGTTTTCATAATGGCTTTATTTCCAAGTTAGGTTCCTAGTGCATATTTATTATTTATGTTAAAAACTGATTTCCTCGTCCTTCGTCCAAAGGGAGGATTAATGAAAAAAAAAAACCTTTAATAGGTTTTTTCTTTCTTACATTTACGCCAATATTTGACATTTTAAATTAAACTTATCTTTTCGGGTTTTGTGGCAGTTTTACTTTATATTCGTTAACCAAAATATAAAATAAAATTGCAGGGTCACATCATATTTTTCTATTATTATTTGTATGTATTTTATATGTAAATAAAGTTTCTATAACTGTACTTTGTTTTTTTTTAGTGACAATGACTTAGAATCAACAACGGAGCAAGTGATCAAGGAAGTCAACGCCGACATGACACTCAAAGTCAGTGTTTTCATTGGCATGGACACAAGGTAACACGCAATATATATGTATACATCCATATATAAATATGTACATATAAACAAATATTTTATGCAATATTTATGGAGAGAAAGATACTATGTTGTTTATAAGTACTATTTAATCAAAAAAACGTGTGTGTGTACTTATTTACGCACGTAAGAAGTTATACTTCGTTGGCGTAACAGAACAAAAATAGCTATAGATTTCATCCCGCATGTCCTAACTCTCTGTTTGTAAAAGGAATGCAGCTAACTTCATCATGTCGCTTTTTGGCTGTCGGTGTGCGCGCGCATCGTAAAAATTTTACTCTCATATTTTTTTTCCAAACGTGACAAAAGAAATATAACTTCAAAAGAATTATTATTATTATTTTTAATAAATAGCCCTTTTTAAGATATACGAGTCCTCGCCTAGCAGCGGCCGCAGTGCACGGGGTCATGGCTTTAAAAGGAACGCCAAAGGAATTTGGTATTGTCACTACACCTATCCTACACTACTGCGTGAAATGTCGCAATGATAACACTTACGGAATACCCACAGAAGAAGGTGATTTGATTTTTATTATTAACTATTCGCTCGGGTTCGTACCTAGCTTGCTTCCCAATAAAAAGTGTCCTATATCCTTCTCAGGGTCACAAACTATCTTCTTACCAAATTTCATTTACAACGTCACAAACTCACAAACTATACCTCTTTATAATATTAGTATAGAATAGCGACTCACCCTGCTTCGCTCAGGTTCATCCCTAAGTACATACGTTTTGACGTTTGGTATGGAATAGATTTTTTTAAAATTTTTTTTTCGTGATATTTTTCTATGTTTTCGGGGTAAGACATAACCAACAAAACAAAGATCATGAAAATCGGTCCATCAGTTCTCGAGTTATAAGTGTTGTAACAAACCCGCCTTTGTTTTATATATATATAGATATTTATTATTTTATAATGATAATAATGTACAAATAGTTTTTACTTTCACATAAGTACCATAATTAGTGCGTGACAAAACTATTGCAATTGTTTTATATTAGATCGCATTTTTTATTTTACATAACAATGTATTTTTTGCTAAATTAAATTAACTTAATATATTTAAATAGTTTTGCTCAAGGCTTTGTGTGCAGCTTATTTCTTTAGAATTACTCTTGAAAAAAAGGATTTTTCAAATCGCGCTGTTATATCTAGAGATTAGCGCCTTTATACAGGGTCATTTTTAATTTACTGAAAACCTTTTGGGAATATACTATTTACATCATAACAATCTGTAAGAAAAAAAAATATTTCTTAAATTTTACATATATATATTTTACATATAAAAATATTTTTATTGCACCTTCTAAACGGTAATAGTCCAGCGTTTGCACAAAAAAGCGCGTGACAGGTGGAGGGGGAGGGGTGGAGGAAGCGGCCCTTACTCATTTAAACTTGGCCAAATGTTTGAATTTTACCATGTAGAAGGTGCAATATTTTTATTTTTTTATTTTTGTATGAAAATTAAAATTTAAGAAATATTATTTTTCCTTGTTACAGATGTTATTTTTATGATGTAAATAGTATATTCCCAAAAAGTTTTCAGTAAATTAAAAATGACCCTGTATACGGACAAACAAACGAAAAAAAAATTCATTAAAAAAATGTATTAGTACAGGTTACAGGTAAATTAGTTGCTAAGTTTTCTTTATATTTTAGGTTATTACGATAAAATCGTCGGTGCCTTCAAGAATATTCGTCAAAAGCTACCAGTAACTGGTAACTACAACTCAACTCTGTACGTGGATGGCGCTAATGGCGTCGGAGGGAAAAAGTTAAATATCATCAAAAAAACTTTAGACGGAGAACTAGATTTAGTTCTGTTCAATTTGGGCGGTAATGGAGGGAAGTTGAATTTAAATGTAAGTTATATGTCAATATTTCTAGTCATATTTTTATAGTTATTGCTTTTTAGGGTCATATATAGAATTTCAATAGTTTATAACAAAAATATTTTAGAGTACATTCAAATGATGTATATAAATAAAATTGAAATTTTATTCGTTTATAAGCAAATCATTGAGAGCGATTTGACAAAATTTTTTTAAACTTTTTTTTAAACTTATAATAGTCCGTATATTAAGATTTTTCAGAATAAAAGTTGAAAAAAGAACCAAAATTTAGGAAAAACATACTGCTTTATCAAGAATTTTTGTATTAACTTAAGGATCACAAACAAGTATATCGAAACATCAACAGGATTGCGTCTGTGGTTTGAGCAAATTTAAAATATAATAAAATATTTTAAATAAAACTACCTTTTCGGATTTTTTCGCGGATTTATTTTGATTTTTGGTTTCCGACGTTTCGAATGCTTTACAGCAATCATGGTTACTGAAGAGACTAAGGTTTTAGACTAATCTATATAGATAACTAAAATTGAAGTGTCTGTTTGTAATGTCAAAATAACAGCTTTTTACTAAATGCATATGGAATTATATACGGTATTTATAAAAAACACACATTTTTTAATTTATTTGTCTGTCTGTTTGTTTTGGCTAGTCTCCGAAACGGCTGGGCCTATTTTGACGGGACTTTCACTGGCAGTTAGTTGATGTTATAAGGAGTAATTTTAGCTACATTTATTTCAGTAAAAGAATTAGGGTTCCGCTCAAAAAAAATGTATCTAAAGATGAACCCGAGCGAAGCGAGGGTGAGTCGCTAATATTATAATAAAATATAATAACTCTTATTCCCAGTGTGGGGCAGATTTCGTGAAAGTATCACAAAAGCCGCCGGTGGGAGTGGAACACGTGCCCTTCCAGCGGGTGGCGTCGTTGGATGGCGACGGCGACCGAATTGTGTATTATTATTTGGATGATGAGTAAGTTTTAAATACATATTATAAATGTATATACCCATGACTGGAGTACAAACATTCGTGCTCATCACACACACATTACACAAATGAATGCCCCCAGCGGGACTCGAACCCGCGACCGCTGGTACAGCAAATAGGATCACTAAAAAGTACAAACTGAGCCAAGCGTGTCGTCGACTAGTGATGCGCTTTATCATCCGAAAGAAAAAATAATATTGAAATATACTCTGCCCTTTTTTTTAACGTCCCACTGCTGGACACGGGTCTCCCTTTAATACGAGGGGGATCAGGCCATGCTCCATCACGCTGGTTAAGTGCGGGTTGGTGGACTTCTAAGTCTTTCGAAAACTTGCTATTTTCTCTCAGACTTGCAGGTTTCTCACAATGTCTTCCTTTACCGTTAAGACAAACTCTTAAAACAATTATTGGAATGGCTAATTTAAATCATTATATAGTATAAAACAAAGTCGCTTCTCGCTGTCTGTCAGTCCCTATGTATGCTTAGATCTTTAAAACTACGCAACGGATTTTGATGCGGTTTTTTTTATAGATAGAGTGACTCAAGAGGAAGATTTATATGTATAATACATGCATAATATAGGTAGAGAAACACTGATAACTTTAGAGGTTTATATTGTGATTTCGTAAATAAACACATTTTTTGCGCTTATATTCCAAACGCTGGCTGAACCCTAGATCAAAATAATGTACTACAGAATTGTACACCATAAAAAGGTCTACAAAAAAGTCCACGGTGGCATATGCCTATCTCTTAAGGATAACATACTATATTCATTATAGTATGAATATAAATTGTCAACAGCAACAAAATGCACCTGCTAGATGGTGACCGCATAGCAACCCTTCTAGCGAGCTACATCTCCCAACTCCTGACCGCGTGTGACGCAACTCTCAACGTCGGCCTCGTACAGACCGCGTACGCTAATGGCGCCTCCACGAAGTACATTACTGAAGAATTGGTAATTAGATATTACTATCAAATTATTTTTCACAGCTTGGGGTATAGTAGATTACGTGTTACGTCTTGGTCTATCTGGGTACTGAATTTCGTCAAAATCGAAACATATACCAATACGAAATATTGTATTACTAAGAAACTGATAATTAAATATTACTAGCAAAATGCTTTAAACCTTTTTAAACCCAGTCGCCTATGTGTTGCATGTTATGGTCTATCTCAGTGCTAAGTTTCATCCAAATATGTCCAGCCGCTTTAGAGTGAAGGCGTAACAGACATACATATTACACACATACAAAGTTTCACATTTATAATAGTCTGATTTTGTAATGATATCACTCAAAGCCTACTTTTTACCTAAGAAGTTCAAGGAGGTCCCAATGGTATATTAATGTATAACATAAATTACTTTTATCCCATTAATCCATGAATAATAAATTAAAATTTTCTAAAACTAAGAATTATTCACACACAATGACATTTAACTTTTTTTTAGAAAATGCCAGTCAGTTGTGTCAGAACAGGTGTAAAACATCTCCACCACGCCGCGTTATCTTACGACATGGGAATCTACTTCGAAGCGAACGGACACGGCACCGTAGTGTATAGTAAAGAAGCGAAAAATACTATTAGGAAAATTGCCGAAGAAGGGTAAGTTTGATAAGGTTCTATCTCATAAGGTACTTCAAATACATACATATTATAAATATATTATAAGCAGTACCCGCGGCTTCAGCCGCGTCCAAACTTCAGATCGCTACCAAATTTCACAGGATTACCCGTTGGGCTAACCTAAATATTGCCTGAAAATTTCATCTATCCCGCTGTTTTGGAGTCCACAAGGAATATACATCATACACAATCAAAACACAAACAACAATAATTTAAATGTATTTATTGCACGGAAAATGGAATCTTAAATGAAAATTTTAATACACACCGACTGCAGCTCCACTTACCGGGTCCAATTATTTTTTAAAACCATCCAGGAACCCATCGAAATATACACAAAAAAATCTACCAAATCGGTCCAGCCGTTTAGGATTAGGTGACTTATACACGTACAGAAGAATTTTATATATTAAGATAATATATATTTATACTATGTATGTATTTAAAGTCCCAATATATATATTAATATATTTCCAGCGAGGCAGAGCAACGTAAAGCAGCCCAACTATTCTTGAACTTCATAGACATGACGAATGAGACGGTGGGAGACGCTATATCGGACCTATTCCTGGTGGAGACTGTGCTGTGTGCGCGCGGCATCGACGTGCGGGAGTGGATGTCCTCGTACCGGGACTTGCCTTGTCGACAGCTGAAGGTCACTGTGAAGGTTAGTACATATTTATATCAAAACGACTACCCTCGTCCCCTCACCTACCACTCCACCTCCCTCTCCGACCACCCAAACCGGTGGTAGGACTCTGTCCAGCCTGACGAGTCCGACTGGATGGGTACCACCCCGTTATCTATTTCTCCCGCCAAGCAACAATGATTACATTGTTGTGTTCCGGTTTGAAGGATAAGGTAGCCAGCGCAATTACATGCAAGAGGCATATTATCATCTTATTAGTCCTTACAGTGACCTACGGTTCTGCATTTTTGTTACATGAACCGTAGGTGCTATGGGCGACAGGTACTACTTTCCATCAGGTGGTCTGTCTGCTCGTTTGTTACTGAACACCATAAAAAAATTAAATAAATAGCACCCCTACCTCTGCATCACTCCTCCCACACCTCTCTCTCTCCCTTCTCCCCCATAGATTCACCCTCGTGCCTCAGAAAACTCATACTAGGTCCTGGGTCTGATCGTGACCTCTCCGATCAGTCATGACGCATCTGTCACACTGACACGTGTCAGTATATGTCTTCCCACCGAAATGTCAGAGATAGGAATAAAAAGTTCACGTTGTGTCTATACTCGGCGCGGCGAACCTTGATCCATGACAGTTCGTGTTAGTGATGGGTCGTGTCTTTGGTCGTGTCGATAATTTGCTCATGTGGCGCTTGCCCATACAAATCACAAAAAAAAATTTTTCGCTTTCAGCGCTGAGTACTTTCACTGTAAACTATATAACCCTAAAGTATTATCACTTACTTTTGTTACACCCTTGATCCTGTGTATGTAAATAAATAATTATTAAACAGATTTTGTTTCATTTCATTTTGTCCTATAGCTGTTATTTTTTAATTTTCTTGGGTATAATATAATCATGTATGTATGAATGGTATGATCGTAATATTCTGTTCCATTCCATAATATATGAACTAAAATGTAAGTATGAAAAAAACTGTGCATTCGTTTCCATTACGGACATTTTTTTATCGATACTTGCCGCCCTAGTCGATAAACGTCACACGACGTAAGTTTTGCAGGACGTAAACATAAATTCAGATTGAGATAACTTCTTGTAAATGTTAAGAATTGTTAAAAATATCAACGGAATATCATTACTAATGGTATAAAGCTACGTAAAATTTATAAATGGCATTTTTAGACGCCCCCAATATGATCCCAATTTAATGGTGACGCCACTACAATGTTATATGATGACATTAGCTGTCAGTGTCATAGGGATCAAGGTTCGCCGCGCCGAGTATAGAGTTAGATGTTTAGTATAAAGATAGTCTATGACTTTTTGTCAGTTGACCGAGTGAGTGAGCGTGTTTATTACTTATTCACGCAGCGGCTCAACGGATTCGCGTGAAATTTGAAATTAGTATTAGTTATATATTAGTCAAACGCTACACAAACTATATAGAAAAGTGCTTACTTTTCTTATATTACACTAAACCATTTCATTCCAGGACCGTAACGCAATATCGACAGCGGACGCGGAACGTCAGTGTACAGCACCAGAAGGTCTTCAGACCAAGATCAATGAACTAGTCTCTAAATATACCAGTGGTCGATCGTTTGTCCGTCCGTCCGGTACTGAGGATGTGGTGCGTGTCTACGCAGAGGCCGACACGCAACAGGTATAGTATTTAGTAGTACTTACCGAACTGCGAAGCCCAAAGGAGTAGACCCGTAGTTGATCTATAGTATGCACATATTATATGTTATGTTTAAGCTGTGTGTATGTTTGACTCTAAATTCCCTTGTTTCGGATTAGCTGATTTTTATAATTTATACGAGGATGTGCTTAAATTCGTCTTAATTATGTCGACTTGGAAGTGGTAATTATGTTGGAAATTCAAATCCGCTTCGCTTTCCCAAGTCATTGCGTTTTCAAGAAACTAGACTGCTTTTAATAGGGAATATGTGTGATTTTTTTAATTTTTTTATACAATATCTATCGTCGTTATATAATTGTAAAAAATATCCAGCTCCAGAAAACTAAAATTTAGTATATTCTCTTTTTTTTAAATATCATACCGATATGGATACTTTAAACGCCCGCCATTTCGCGAGCTTAGCGTGACGTCACAGTATCATACATAGAAAAATGACGACTAGTTTGTAGCGTCGCTAATCGCTGTTATGATAATACTTTGACGTCATATTCGGTCTGACCAATGGCGTGCGTTTCGACCACTATGAATTTCCCACCTATATTTGCACTTTTTAATAATAATTAATCAAAAAGAAATTACATTAAAAGTATTGATATAGGCTTAATTGAAAAGCAAAAAAGATTACAAAATTTTTTTACGTTTATTTAATTACATTCCCTATTATAATGAAAATAAATGTATATTTTGTCGCAGATAACACAATTTTTTTGTTACAGTCAGCAGATAAGTTAGCCGCTGAAGTAGCACAAGCTGTGTACGATTTGGCGGATGGAGTCGGCGATAGACCTGTGTTACCTGAATAAATGATATCATAAATAAAAGATCTGAATATTAAATATCTATTACCAACAACTTGATTGGCATTGTACTTTGAGACCATTTTTTTTAAATTCACTGATATAGGCACAAATCTAACGATTTTATATTTAATTGTTAAAGATGTTAGAATGATGTGAAACGAATATATTATTCATCTTTTTCTTTTATTTTGAGCGCATATGCTGAGTGGAAAAAATATAAAAAATTACTGTTAAGTAGAAAAAAATATATTAATAATACTTTTCACACTCACAGGTTTTTTTTTGTTTAAACATGTCACATATATTTTTTCACTCACACAAATATAATATACTGAATATAGTTTTATTATTTTATATGTGACAAATTCTCTTAACATCGCTCTTACTGAAATGCTGTCCACTTGTTTAAAAAGAGGTCTAGACTCCAGAAAAAAAGACATGTTACAATTTAAAAATTAACCACAGGATTAGTCTACAAATGATTGTTTGTAGATTGCCTGAATTAGAAAAATAATGTAAAGCTACATTTACAATTACAAATTTAATTATAAGTGGAATTAAAAAACAACAAACATGTATTATTATTTTGACAAGTCATTAAAAATGGCGGTAAATGTAGTTTTTTCTGACTTTTTCACCGTCCAGTTTGTATCTATAAAATCTTAAAAATTAAAGAGCACTGTTGAGTGAAATCACATACAAATAACTATAGATATCTAATAAGTCGTTTGTCCTTGTCACAGAGTAAAAATAATAACTGTTTAACAAAATGGTGGAATCGTTATGATTTTTATATTTATAATTTGAATTCAATTTAATTAATGCAAAGTAATCTATTAATGTAAAATAAACTAACATAGGTAACGAGTCCGAAAATCGATAGCTCTAAGATTAAATAATATAACAATTTTTTAGTGTAATATACAGAGTAAACTATTGAAATAACTCAATATGAAGAAGTTCAAAATTATATCAAACCTTGTAAATTTAAGAAGTTTAAATAAGCATTGTATAAACTCTTGAAAAATGACTAAAAATTCTGGTTTTTAAAGTGTCTATACAATTTAATTCTTCCATATTGAATAATTTCAATGGTTTTTCTGTATTGGCAGTGATTATATTTCCCTATTGGCTATTCGTGGAGATAACGAGATCAGTTAACAGTACTACTTTGTCAATGAATACAAACTGAGCTTTTATAAACTAAAAGTATTGTATGACGACACGTTTGGCTTAGTTTGTAGTGAACCTATTTGTTGTGCCAGTGGTGGCGGGTTTGAGTCCCGCTGGCGCCATTCATTTTTATGATGAGCACTAATGTTTGTACTCCAATCATGGGTATATATATTTACAATATGTATGTATTTAAAGTTACATATGTGTAGTGTATCTAGTGTCTGGTGTCCATAACATAGGCCTCGTAGCTTACCATGGAACTAGATGATGCTGTGTGTCAATGTCCCAATATATTTATTATTACAGATTAAATTGTGACTATCTTAATAAATCATATATGTAATAATATTTAATCATTATCTGTCGAAGTTAGTTCTGAATCTTGCCGGTAGGGAATCTGGTCATCGCCAATAACTAGTCCTTAGTCATTATAACAGTACAACGCTTAACTAGTCGCAAAATTTTACGTTTTTTTTTTCAATGACATGCGTGTACTCTGTTTGAAGAATTCTTGATATATTCTGAAATTTTTTTCATACTTTTTTAAAATAATATTTTGAAGCGTATTTATAATAAAATAAAAACAGGTGAGATTATTTTATTTTATCAGTAACATATTGAAGAGAAGTATAAGAGAATATATATATATATATATGTATATATATATATATATATATATATATATATATATGTATAGGAATACAAATGGTCCTTCTCAAGCATATTATGTAATAGTGTATAAAGTTGAGTTTTTTTAACAAAGAAAGATTTGTCTCTGGTTGGGCTCAAGCTGCATCTAATTGTTATGGCTACGTTTACGTGATGTTTATTTATGCGTTGCCATGGTAACGCATCCTTTAAGTACCGATTAGTGTAGCTCGCCTTACCAATTAGTGTGACTCGAAAATGCCATTTTTATTTGCAGTTGAAATTTGATAATATATCAGTAAACATTGTAGTTTTTTTTTAATTTTATATAATGAATAATGACATTTTTAGTGTTACTGAAAATTTTGAATTATTGAAGTACTTATAGTATAGCGTGGCATTATGTCGCTTGTTTATAGTCAATTTTACAAAAAACAAAATAGGTTCATAAGCCTGTCTAACGGAGACTCCACCTGTTTGTCGTTCTTTTTACTTTAACTAGGAATTTTATATAACTTGTATAGAGTTTGTCTCAAATTTCTAAATCTAATAAGGAAAACGACGGATAGGTTATTGGGCTCCGCAAGAAGAGTGTCAGAAAGGACACTTAGGTTTTAGTCCCTTTAAGTATGGTGAGGGCTCACCTGTGGATTTTATCTTTGATATTTTAACAAATTTATGTTTACACTGAATAGAAGAAATGTAGTTATTAAACTTAAAATAACAATAATACTTTCTTAGTTACGCGAATATTTGACATTTTAAATAAAACTATCTTTTCTGATTATTTCTGTCTCCCGTGACCATGATCGCTGTAAAGCATTCGACGTCGGGAACCAAAAATCTAAATCCGCGAAATAATCCGAAAAGATAGTTTTATTTAAAAATTGTGATTATTTCGAATGAATTTACTTAAATAGAATGTTAACAATAATGCTTAAATCAAAATTAGCTTAACACGGTTATTGGGAACATTTCATTTAAATATCATTTTGTTCAAAACAACTAATATTTCATTGTCAATTTTAATTATTTTATTCAATCTTCCGTAATTAAATATAAAATTAAATGTACATTAGGTAATCTTAGTTTTAAGTCTTAACACTGCCACCTTTAAAGGTGTAACTACACAATCTAGTTATTCTATTTGCATCCTCCATTTTATTTTATATTCTATAATTCTGAAATTTTACTTTATAATTAATTAATGTGTATTTTTGGCAGCTTGTTTTTTTTTAAATCTAAAAATAGGACAGGAGTACCAAAGGGAAAGATACAATATAAAAAATATATCAAAATTAGAATATTATTTTGAAATTGTATGTTAATTTTTTTTTGTTGTATGGTTAATTTTATATGAAGAACAATCTAGAATACCTAATTATTATTAAAATTATTTATATTATAAACTTTAAAACGGCTTGATATATTTATCATGTAATTCCAAATTGCATTTGACTATTGATTAGTATAGATGAATAAATGTTTATATTGAAACGTGCTAAACGCATGAGTCAAAATCAGCAAAATCAGACAAAAAATAAGAAATGTAAGCGTATAGAACAATTAAAGTGAAGCCAAACTTCTGGATCGCACTGGGAGAAATGGTCATCTTTAAACATATACAAATATTCTTCTTATTATTTTAGTCTGAACAGCAAACAAACGTCTTGAACTGAAAAGGCTAGATGGGAAAATGCATGAGCCTATTGGTCAACCAAACTTGCGCACTTTAGACATTCTTACATAAAAATACCTATAAATTGTATATTTCGAGGTGTTTTCACTTTTCTAGGGTATTTCCACCGATATTGTATAATCGAAAATTTGCGATAAATATTGATATCACTTGAATCTTTTATCTATTTGTCTGTTTTGATCTAGGTGTGGCTATCTAAATGATAAATTCAATGTTTTTTTTTTGCTCTTAAATATAATTTACGTGTTTCTTGCATCTTTTTTAATGTTTACAAATTTTAATTAAGTTTTTTTTTATTGATGATGAAGATTTTTCCATAAATGTATTTTCTAAAATCAGTTAATTTATTGATTTAATTAATACTTTTTAATTATTGTCTTGTCTAGGTGCTATAATGCCTTGTTATTGTGAAAGTGATGTGAAAATCTATTTTTGAAATTCTATTTAATATTTATGTGAATTATGATAAATCTATACTTAATATTATAAAGAGGCAGAGTTTGTTGGTTTGAACGCGCTAATCTCAGGAACTACTAATCTGATTTGAAAAATTCTTTTTGCATTACATAACCCGTTCAATGAGGAAGAATTTAACATGTAATTTATAGTCTATATATTCCATACTAACCGTTAAAACGTACCTAGGGACGAACCCGAGCTAAGCTAGGGCGAATCGCTAGTTCAATATATGTATGTGTAGCTGTATTCGAATCATTCAGTTTATGATTTATGTTAATTTTTAATAAACCATTAAATTATAATTAATTAAATATTTATTGTTTTATTATTATTCACCTTATCAAATTCTTCTCAAAATTACACTTCTGTATCTTGTACGTTTGTTTCTCTTTTACGGCGAAACGGCTGGGCAGATTTAGATGTAATTTAGTACCTACTCATTGTCGAATAGGCTCAGTAGTGGATTTAGGATCGATGGCGCCCTAGGCCCAAATTGAAATTGCGCCCTTTTCCTTTGGTAACAGTATAATATACTATACATAGATTAATTATAATTTTAACAAAAAAAGTTTACAGAAAACCCAATCGATTTTTAATTTGTTGGTTTAAAAATTTTATTGCCTCTCAAAATGTGCCGCCCGGGCCTCACGGGCCTTAGCCTAAACCTGCTACTGAATAGGCTATGGCCTGGACACAATTACACATACATACAACCTTTCTCAGCATATATAATAATAGTACAATTATAAATACAAAAGGTACACAGGTACAGCAGGTATACATTCAAGTGAAGCAAGTAGATTTAATATAATCATTTAAATAAATGTTATCGTGGCATTTGTCCAACTCGTTCTGCTAAATGCCAAAAGTCTAAACCTTAAGTTTAGAAAGTAAAATAAACAGAGACGACAAGAAAACTATTATTGGTAACAAATTTCAAGATTTTATTTAACAAATTTTATCAATACGTAATGTATTTTTAAAACAAACTTATAACTATGAAAATAGCTTATCTATCTTACAACGTAATACTACTGCATAATTGTTTGTAGATTTTAAACTTGACTGTAAAATTTTAATCATATAGAGATCAGGTCAATATTTTCTATATTACATTCTTTTTACAAAACCAATAATGTTAAAACTGCATTAAAGTTGATAAATATTTTAATTAAAAATTGGAATGTAATGCTAGAGACAAAAAAAAATTCATGATAATAGATGAGATAAAATTTTTAAATTGAGATATGTGAGTTAAATCTAGAAAAAAGATAGTTTTAAATTACAAAGACTAATTTTATTAAAATGTTTTGAAAATTGTAGTCATAAAACCGTAGTTAGATATTTATATAAGCACAAAAGCATGCATTTTAGAAAGTATTTTAAAAGAAATTTATATTTAAAATTTGTTTTGTGATGTATAATATAAAGATTTCACTATCTTTTCCTTTTTTTTTTCTGTTTCACATATCATAGTTAAGAACATAATATTGTAACTGTTCCACTTTGAAATATTATGTTGTAAATGTTTCCTTATTATTAGTAATATTTTAACCAACAACTGTTTGTATATCCAATTAGCATTACTTGGAATAAAAACTTTTATCAAGCCAAGTTTCAGAGTGCCATAGTAAATAAAAGCATATACAACACTCGTAACTATGAGTGTTGCTTTTATTTACTATATTTGAGCAGTCAGTCACATTGAACATCGTCAGTTATAAAGGTCTTTGAACAATTAAATTTTAACAAAAGTTGCATTACAACTAGTCTCTATAATACTTAAATTGGAAGATGAAGTTGCACTAAATCTATAGGTTTTTTAACTCAATAAGTTTAAACTTAACTACTGTCTATATACAATTATATAAATTGAATTAACAGCTTGTAATGAAAGTGAATCAGCTTAAATATCAACATATTAATTAATTCTAAGACATTTTTGGTGTTTTAAGTTTTAATATTGGTAATAAATAGATTTACTTAAGAGTAACATATTTGTTGTATATCATTTTAATATAATAAACACAGTATAAGGTAGGTATATTAAAGTATACATTTAATTATTGATACATACATTAAAATAAGGTTGGGTCGAGTATAAATTATCTTCGTACTTGATTCAATCGAGCTAAATAGCATAAAAAAATTTAGTCAATATTGGTAACTCATCAAATGAATATTAAATTTTATATTTTCAAACACCAAAACTGGTACATATGTTATGCCAGCTAAATATCTTATAGGCAATAATATTTAAAAGGCACAAAATTATTTGCACTAGATGTTTCATTATATCAGTTTATATCATCGTGAGAGATCATTAAATTAATCTTTGCTTCGTAAGTCCATAATTAACAAACCCAATATATGTACATTATACATACATACATATTTGCATTTTACTATATAAAAATTTTACAAGTTCGAATTAACTTTACAAATCTTTAAAAACATTTGATATTCAAGCATTTGTAGTATTTACGAACTCCTGGTAACTACCATGTATTATATCTAGCTTTCTAATACATCTAAATGTTATACAAGTACTGGCCCCAAGTAAGGTGCTTGATCACAATAAAAACATTCTGGCACATTTCTTTCTTGTAATTCAACAACATTGCTACTGATTTCGTTGGCTACATAATAATATCTACATCTTCTCGGTCCTACTTCTTCTATCAGTGTATCATAAGGTGGAGATAAAATATCGAAAAAGGCAGCAGGCATATCTAAAGCTTCTATTTCATGGTAATTTGATATCACTGGCGTTAAAATACATGTCTCTGAATTAGCCACGCACACGCTATCTTGTGATATTTTACCGAAAAATCTTCTCTTTTTATGAATACCTTGAGCTAGACGTGCCGCTTCGTGTTTAGCGCGAACGGCAAAATCTAAAGAATTCACTATTTCTTTTAAAGGATATTCGGTAAAGCTTCTTATCCGAACTGCTCCTGAAATAACTTTTAAAAGTCCATGCATGTGCGGGTGATCATGTAAAGGCATCACAAACCCGGGCTTCAAGACAAATATGCTCATGTTAACTAAACGATTTTGAAACACTTCGATATATGTACAAGGCGCTTTGTTAGCTTTTCTCCATGTGGCTGGATCATTTAAATTTTGGTCGAAACCTAAGTCATCGGCTTTTAATTTGTCCATCATGTTTTTTAACTTATTCAAGTTGGCCGTAAAATCATTTTTGAATTTTTCGTCGAAAGTATGCAGTGCTTGCCGGTAAGTTGAAATAATTGGTGGTATGTTAACGATTTCCATTGGTGATTTTGCTGCATCTCTATTATCCATATGAAATTTGCTTATGATGGCCAACGATATACTTTTCTTTGATGAAATTGTTGAAATTATTCGGCACGATAACAAAGCGAAACTGTCGATAAACGTCATTTTCCGTCCATGATTTTGTATCTTTCCTAGTGTCATATATTCGGATACACTTCCAAGTTCCAACTCTCCGACTCCTATTGTTTTTCAATATCTAAACTAAAAAAAAAGCATTTAAAATAAGAAAAAAATGTTATTTAAAAAAATTAAAAGTTTTCCGAAGTATTATTTTTATTGGAAATATTATTGCATTAGCTAATAAACATTGCAAACGAAGTTATTTGTAGATGGCGCTTTTACGCGTATTTCATACACTATAGCCGAAAATACACAAAAACTAGTTTATCGGTAGATGTCGCTAGTTGCACTGTCATATTTGTATTTTGTAAGCATAAAACAAAATGAATTATGAATATCTCAAACTCTGACTTCTGAGAGACGGCAAAAGTTAAGGGCATCCAGAGAAATATACATTATAAATTATAATATAATATAGGTACATAATATAATTGTTTAAAAATATTTTTGTGATTTACCTAAGTCTTTAAACTTTTATGATAATTAATTTAAAAAAAAAGGTAAAAATGGATTTGTATCATATTTTTGTTTTGATTTATGAGTTTCCGAGCTTTCGGCATTGTTACAAGCCACATTCACGAGTACATTCAGCTTACTATTATAGCTTATCTAACTAACCGCTTTACATAATAAATGTAATTATTTTTATAGTTTTATTGTCAGATTATGTTTACAACGTAAATTTTTAGTGAAACGATTCATTTTTCTCTTGAGATATATCTAACCAAAGCAAAAGAAGAAACCTCTCAGGTTGTAACTATTAATACAGATGACAATTTTAATACCATGTAACTCTATATAGTTTTGTATGTAGAGTAGGCAATAATGTCACCCTGATCAAAAGTAAACTCTGGATGCCGACAGTCCTTTCGAAAAGATCTTTAAAATTATTATTGCTATTTGTATAAAGATCGCATTTAAAAAGCCATATGCTAAATGCAACAGAAAAACTAACTCTTGTTAAGTTCGTTTCGTATGATCGAAGACTAAATACGAAATAAAAACAATTGTTTCGCTTGAGAATTGTTTACCTTACACCCGATCCGACAATTAAACACCCACAGAACCCAATAAAATAAATATAAAGGCGTTAAGTAGGTAGTTACAGTAAATATATTTGGAGGTCAATTTTAATGTGTGGTCTTCAGAAATAGTTACCCGCGGGTGGTGAGTTGTAAACCACTTAAATAAATAAGTTGCTCAACCTAACAGTTAAATTCGATTTTATTGTTTGGAGTTACACTGTTTTATCGTAATGTTATAAACTTACCGATTAACGGTTCTAAACATAGATAAATTTATCAACAGGTACAGCTAATAAGACAGCGAACTATTTTACATAGAAATCGGTTTATATGTTTCTTGCTAATCAGTTGTAATGTATCTATAGATTACTAAATTTTCTCCGATCTACGTATTTTATAGTTAGCACTAATTGTTCTCCAAATGATTTTGAATAACTAAATACATATATTTGATTCAATTATAATTGTTCTTAAATATAACTACGCAGTAATTTTAATTAAAATAAAACTCCTGTCATGACAATTAGGTACATACATATATAGGATGTATAGTCGTAGCAATACCAGTATACACTTAATCTACATGTAGGTACACAGATCTCATATATCTTATATTTAGGTGAATATTATTTGTTACATTAAACTTTTAGTTTCTTGTTTTCTTAATAAATATCACTATTTCTTATGGTGTAGGTACCTCATTTCATTTTGTACTTACGTATTATTAGATAATGGGTTCGGATGAAAAACAATTCATATAAGTACACGAGTACTAACTATACTATATATCTAACTACTTACCTCTTGAAATAAAAAAAATGTAAATATTTTAAAAACTACCCTACCTAAATTACTTATTATTCAGTACAAAGTTGCCTGCCTTCGTCATACCCGACTATGCTGTGAAAAGCTGAACAAGTATAGGTACGCATAGGCATATTATTTACTTCTCTTCTACGAAGTGCGCTAAGGGTGTAGCGTAAAGCTACCGTGTTCTGGCGTTCGTCTGTTTGTTTGTCAGGTGCGTGGGTGGGCTTCTCAGAACTACTGAACTTCAAGGCTTGCAGGTGGAATTATAAATTAATGAGACAAAGTCATTCGGTTTTCAATTTTTATTTAAATAAATTAATTTTAATTTTTTTATAACTAAAAATAAACTGTTGCTACTTGCTTTTGCTAATATTATAAATGTGAAAGTGTGTTCGTTTGTTTGTCCGTCTTTCACGTTGAAACAGATCGACGGATTAGCGTGATTTTTTGTGTGGAGATAGTTAAAGGGCTGAAGAGAGACATAGGCTATTTTATACTGCGAGAGATTATCTTATTGCAGGTATAGTCAGGTTCAACGGATTTCTGTACAACTACACGTATAGGTAGGATTATTAATGGGAATAAAAATATAACAAGGTTCCAAACGGTCTATTAGATCTATAGTTACAACCCCAGATCACCGTTCTGCGCTATCCTAAGTAAAGAGGGTCACAATGCAGGATTAACTATAAGTACCTATAGATAAAGCTCTCATGTAGGTAGGTACATATTTATATGCGGACTGCGGCGAACATTGCTACGTAAAATACCGAGAAATCGCAAGGAACCCGCAAAAAATGAAATTACTTATATATTGTTTATACTTTATACTTATATATAAGCTACTTTATATCCCGGAAAAATGTACGTGACACAGATTGTGAGATAGATTTATACCTATTTGTTTTTCTAGAGGCGAACCCGAGCGATGCGAGGGTGAGCCGCTAGTAATGACTATTTCAATAAGATTTTCTAAAAAATATTTAAGATTTCAGATACGACTCAGCAATTTATTATACCTATGTATAGATTAAGTATTGTACATTGATGCCATGATTAGACACGAATTTAAATTTCTACTACCCTATCCATGGTCCATTAGATTTTAGAAAATTAGATATTAGGTAGATACTTATAATAAAGAAAAAGAATTAAAATACGTTTTATGAAATTCGAAACCGAATTTTAAATAAAATGAAATTTGAATTTAAAAAGAAAACTTTATAATACTTTCTTAGATTTACGCGAATATTTGACATTTTAAATAAAACTATCTTTTCGGATTATTTCGCGGATATTGTGGGTAGACTGTCTGTAACAACTATACCTTTTTTTTTGTTGGGAAATGCATTTACGCATACCACCTGATCCCCCAGGTGGTGATGTGGGGCTCACCGGCTATAAGAGCCGGTACTACCCACTAAAACCCGACATTCCCCTCCCCTCCGCCTTAATGGGACACCGCAGGATCGCTTGCGCATAACTACTACGGCGCCCCGGCAGCAGGTCTGCCAACGGCTGACCACCACACCGATGGGGCTGCTCCACAGTCAACTCTGCTACACCAGAGAGGTACCCGGAGCTCCATAAAACCGAACCTCCGCCCACCGAAGTGAGCCACCTCCAATCGGCTGCAGAGGACAGGGAGAGCGGCAACGAAACACCGACACTCCTCTTCCCCTGCAGCCCCACCGCGTCCGCCATCAAACGGTGGCGGCCCCGTCTAGGCCGCGAAAGGTAGGGAGAACGGCGCACCGAAATACCGTCACTCCTCTCCCGCCGCGGCTTACCCCTCCGCCGGATGCGGGCCTGCGACCACAGTCCCGCAACCGGCACCCATCATCCGGTTGTGGGACCAAGCGGTCCCACCACCGGTGGCCGCAACGTCTTCGGCTCGAGGCCTAGACGAGCGGCCCCATCCAAGCCATTTGGTCCGCGCCGGATTTTTCCGGTACCACCCGCCGCCCTAAGCGGTTGGCATTCCCCTATCCGCCACCTGGGGACGCGCCCGGTAGGAGTTGGCTTCTCCCCCGGGGTAACAATTATACCTTCGAGACATCTAAGACCTCAGTCTCTCCCGTGACCATGATTGATGTAAAGCATTCGAAACATCGGGAACCAAAAATCAAAATAAATCCGCGAAATAATCCGAAAATATAGCTTTATTTAAAAGAAAACTTTAAAGAATGTTTCTATATATTCTTAAAGTAAATCAATCAATTTTCTAATATGTATTCTGAACACATTAGTTATCACGTGGGCTCTAAAGTCTACATGTCAGTTTGAACAGCTATCATTAAACAATTTCGCCAGAATTTATTTAAAATAATTTATTTTAGTTTGACACGAAATATGCAATCACATGTTAGCTCGAATTACGCGATGGCTGAATGGATTTATGCAATAACACACAATGAGTTTGAGTTTAAAAGATATTAGCTGTCATTTATTATTAAGTTTCATAATTTATACCTTAAATCGAATTGTAATAAAAAATAATTAATTAATTAGTATTTAAGGATATTAAAATATTTAACACTTGCTACTCTTTTTTTAAAACATTCAATAGCCAGAATACTAAGTAGGTGTCTACTAACCACAAAATCTAATAAAATCTCTCCTATCTTAGTGAGATGATGTGGATTTTTTTAAATCGTCACTCCTTAAAGGGTAATGTTTAATAAGATTATCTTCTTCCATGTCCATAGTTATCGGACTACTCTTATGGCAAAAAGGATGTTTATTTTAGTTTTAAGTCTTCTCTTAAGTGTGACTTGGCTTTATTTCTTACATAGACGAATAAATTTTTTGCTTCCTTGTTACATAATACTTTTATTGTTAAGACTAACATTCAGGAAAAGAGTAGTCTATTAATATTTAACATTAGTGAAGCTTTAATCTAGAAGATGATTTGCTTTTTATAATTACTTTAGTTGCCGAATTATTAAGTTACACATATTGAATTTCAGTTAAAAGAGGTCAGACAGTAACATTAATAATATTTTATTATATTATGGCACAGATAATACATTCAAAATAAATATTAAACAC